TCCATGTTTTCTGCATCGCGGAAATCATAGGCCCCTACTAATGTAGCAAACGAATTTGATAAGCTCATTGTGAAAGTAAAAGACGGGGGACATTGTTTATTTACTTAGCATTGAGTCTCTCCAACTAGGTGACAACGTAGTGTTAAATCACCATTCAACAGACACAAGCCACCACCGCACTGCCATCTATTGGACTGCAGAAAGATACTAACTTTTCAATCTGCTACGTTACTGACTGTACTGACAAACTATGCTGACACCATGTCTGCGCCGCAACAAGACGCGACAAAGCGACCGTTGAAAATCAGTTAAACTTTGTGTCAGCACGTCATAAATAGAACGAGGCATCAGTTTACTGCATCCAGTGTAGATAATTCTATTCTATTCTATTCTACACCGGACGCGAGCGGCGCGACAAAATACAATAAAAATTTTATTGTATTTTGTCACGCCGCGCGATGTGATGTGACCGATGTGATAAGCATGAGTTCTATAAACACCAGCATTGACTGAGTGGCCACGATCAGCTCCGGTAACCGTAACACAGGCTTTAATGTGCCGCAGACGCGTGCCGTGATGCGCAGATCAGCTCTAGTCTCTAACGTCACTGAATCTGCTGTTAAAATGGACAAACTAAGTAATTACACCATTCAGAAGCATTTAATCTGCGTTATATGTTCTGTAAAAAAAAAATTCATATAGCCAGCATATTCACCGATACCGATATATCTGCGACAGGCTCATATCGGCCAATAATATCAGCAAAATGATATATTGGTTGGGCTCTAGTTGATAACCACTGATTTAGACCCCAACTATTAATAAGAGTGTTGCATTTGTGCATTTGCAGCTTTGGGTAATACCGTTTCCCATGTTAAAATCCATTTAGCACAATTAGACCAATAGTCTCTCAAATTCAATGCAGAATGTGTGAGAAACTCTGCAGGTTCTGGACCTGCTGATGGCTTAGTAGTCACACCTCTATTATTAAATCTTAATTTTTTTTTTTCCCTACTTTTGCAAATAGCGAAGAGTTCTGGCCTACCAGGCAAGTTCTCTTTTGCAAGCAGCATGGGAACAAAGATGACGTTTGGTCCTGTGGGGTCTGAGGAGCCTTTTTCCTTCACTCCAAAATTGGCATCTCCTGCACACAGCGTGAGCTCCTCTACACCACCTCCTGAGCCATCTAAACTCCCTCAAGCTCCCAAAACCCAGGGCAATGCTGGAGAAACTCTCGGCTCCTTTTCTGGCTTAAGAGTGGGCCAAAGTGAAGAAGTAAAGGAAGCTCCCAAGACCACCTTGAGTTTCTCCTTTGGACCACCTGGCAGTGGATCTACAGGATTTGCATTTGGTTCTGCACAAATCAAGGCTGCGGAAACTGGAAGTTTATCAGAATCAACAGGTGCTGCAGCAGAGGCTCCAAAGACGACTACGGCACAAGGATTTGGCACACCTACATTCACCTTTAAACCACAGGAGGGAACTGCTCCTTCAGAAAAGCCAACTTTCACCATTCCCTCGACATCTTCCTTTTCTACAGCTGCCACTTCTTTCGGCAGTCTTCTGCATGCACCTCTGTCAGAAACGCAAACTCTTCCAACAAAGTCCCTCCAGCCAGAGACAACGACTTCAACTGAGCCAGCTCCCTCCACTGATACTGAACCTAAGGAACCTCCAGCAGAACCCAGTCCTAAACCACCAACCTTAAGTGCTCCATCAGCCGTACCAGTCACTGAAGCCGCTGCTCCCACCAGTAATGAGCCCACTACTGCACCTTCCAACAAGCCCCCAACTCCTCCAGCTCTCGAGGTCTCTTCTGCACCACCTCCATTAGTTACCCCACCATCCGAGACACCGGCGCCTGTCTCCGAGCGCCGTACCAGTCACTGAAGCCCCTGCTCCCACCAGTACCGAGCCCACTGCAGCTCCTTCCAACAAGCCCCCATCTCCTCCAACTCTCGGAGTGTCGCCCACTCCTCCTCCCTCAGTTACCCCACCATCCGAGATGTCGGTGCCTGTTTCTGAGCCTCCTGCAGCAGAGCCAGTGTCTGATCCTCCCCCCGAGACCACTAGCACTTCCACAGCTACTCCTTTACCCCAAGAGACACCAGCAACCACCTCATCTTCAGCTCCAGTGTCTGACAAACCAGGCTCAATCTTTGCCCCACCTTCAAGTGGCACAGACAGTCTGACAGTAGGAGCCATCAGTCTTACCAGTGTCGTCGCTACAGCGGCCTCCTCCATCCCATCTGCAGCCATCACCACCAGCACAGCTCCAACCCCAGGCCCAGTTTTCAGACAACCCACTTCCGTCACTCAGACCACAGCATTCGGATCTACCGTCTTTGGTGCCAATTCTACCACCTCTGGCTTTGGCAAACCTGCCTTTGGACAGAATCCCGGTGCAGGTTTTGGCCAGCCTGCAGCCTCTGGATCTGCTAGCAGCTTCACTTTTGGTCAGCCGGCATTTAGCGCAAGTTCTGGGTTTGGGCAGCCAGCTGCGGCCTCCACCACATCAGCCACCAGCAGCGGAGGAGGAGGACTGTTTGGATCCTCTAGCGCCAACAGTGCCAGTTCCTTCTCCTTCGGAGCCAGCGGCACCAGCTCCACAAGCTCCACACCCAGCACTGGCACTGGGCTCTTTGGCCAGAGCAGCGCTCCTGTCTTCGGACAGTCCAGCTCAGGCTTTGGCCAGGGATCCATGTTTGGGAGCAACACCACCACAGCATCCTCCTCTGGATTCGGCTTTGGACAACAATCAAGTGGGTTTTTTTTTTTCTTCACAAATTCCAACAGGAAAGAGTAGGATGTAGAAAATTATACATGAGGTGTAGTGGATAAGGCATAGGGCTAGTGCTAACTAAGAAGTTGCTGGATTAGAGTTGCTCGGTAGTTGCTTGCTAGTCCTTTTTTTACTGGGGTATGAGTCCTAGTGAAATACTACTTCTAAATCCTTGTCTGATGGTGGAGATTACCATATACTCCAACCCTGCTCCTGGAGAGCTACCGTCCTGCAGCCTTCAGTTCCAGCCCTGCTCCAACACACCTGCCCGTCATTATCAAGTAACCCTGAACACCTTGATTAGCTAGTTCAGGTGTGTTTGATTGGGGTTGAAGCTGAAATCTGCAAGACAGGAGCTCACCAGGAGCAGGGTTGGAGACCTCTGCCATACCAACTTGAGAATTGCTTTCCCTGATAATATTTCACCAATCATGTTCTGTGTTTTCTGTCAGCTGTTTAGAAGCAGAAGTAGCTATTCGCAAATTAATCGCTATTGCTTAAATTGGTCAAGGTGGTTTGCAAAAAGTTGACAAATTGTTTGTGATCCAGTTGGATTCATTCGAACAGTTCATTCATGCAGTGATGAGTTTTTTTATATTGTAATGGGATACTTCTTAAGACCGAAAACAATAATAGTAGAGGAGGTGATGTTTACAGTCGACTATCTGAAAAAAAAACTCTCAAATGTCTTTGATCGTGTCAGCGAAGTAGTGGGG